TGGTGGCCCCCGTGCTCCGCCTCCTTCCCCACTCCTTCTCCCCCCGCAGCCACCCGCTCACCTCCGCCTGCTCCGAGGGGGGGCTCCGGGCGAGCTGCGCGGCGCCGGCGGCCCCGGGCCGGTGCGGGGCTGCGGCTGCCGCCGTGCCGGGAGCCCCGCTCCGCTCCGCAGTGCGCGCACAGCGCATGTCCCCCCCCGCCCCGCTCCGCCCCGCGCCGCCCCGCTCAGCTTCTCTCCGCTCCGGGCGGGCGGCCCCGGCTCCGCCGCCCCCGGTGCTGAGGGAGCTCCGCGCTCCCGCGAGGTGCGGGGCCGGCGCGTTCCCTTCTCCCCTTCCCGGTGGCGGCCACTTTTCTGCTGGCCCCGCAGCGGGATGATCAGCGTAGGGATGATCTCCTCCTGCGGAAGGGCGAATGAGGAGCCGGGATGATGCTGAGCAGGTGGTGCACCATCTTCTCGGCCTGGTCACCTCCTACGGTCTTTCCTATGGTCCTTTCCAAGGGAATAAACTCCTTCCACTCCACCCCGGGGGACATTTGATCCTTTCCATGGTCATGTGCCAGAGCTGCCCGTGCTGCGATACTGATTCACACCACCTCCTCGTGTCACCTACTGAGCTGGAGCCTCAATGCCGCTGTCCCCAGGGGTGGGGATTGTTGTGCCATTGAGCCTCACTTCTGTGGCTGGGAACATCATGGAACAGATCCTCCTGGAAGGGATTTTAAGGCACACAAGGGACAAGCAGGTATCTAAGACAGCCAACAGGGCTTCACCAAAGGGAGATCATGCCAGACTCATCTGGTGGCCTTCTATGATGGTGTGATGGAATCGATGGACAGAGCAAGGGCAACTAATATTACCTACCTGGACTTGTGCAAGGTGTTTGATGTGGTCCCATGCCACATCCTTATCTCTAGACTGGAGAGATGTGGATTTGAAGGCTGGACTATTGAGTGGAGGAAGAATTGGTTGAACAGTCATAGCCAGATGGTTGTAGTCATTGATTCTGTGTCCAGGTGGAGGGCGGTCACAGGTGGCATGCATCTTGGGACCAGTGTTCTTCAGCAAGTTTTCTGATGACACCAAGCTGAGTAGTGCAGTTGGCACAGTAAAAGGGAGGGACACCGTCCAGAGGGACTTGGACAGGCTCGAAAAAGGGGCATACAAAAATCTAATGAGGTTCAACAAGGCCAAGAACAAGGTGCTGCGCTTAGGTAAGGGCAATCCCAGATACAGTACAGACTGGGAGAAGAACTCTTTGAGAGCAGCCCTGCCGATAAGGACTTGGGGATTCTGGTGGATGAAAATCACACACACACAGAATGGCCCGGGTTGGAAGGGACCTCAAGGATCATGAATTTCCAATCCCCCTGCCACAAGCAGGGCCATCAACCTCCCCATTTAATACCAGACCAGGCTGCCCAGGGCCCCATCCAATCTGGCCTTGAACACTTCCAGAGATGGGGCATCCACAACCTCTCTGGGTAGCTGTTCCAGTATCTCACCACTCTCATAGTAAGGAACTTCCCCCTGACATCCAACCTAAATCTTCCCTCCTTCAAACCATTTCCCCTAGTCCTGCAGTTATGAACCCTTTCAGAGAGTTGACTCCCCTCCTGTTTGTAGGCTCCCTTTAGGTACTGGCAGGCTGCAATGAGGTTACCCCCCAGCCTTCTTTTCTCCAGGCTGAACAAGCCCAGCTCCCTGAGCCTATCTTCGTAGGGGAGGTGCTTCAGTCCCTCGATCATCTTTGTGGCTCTCCTCTGGACCCTCTCCAACAGCTGTCTTTCCTGTACTGGGGGCTCCAGACCTGGACGCAGTATTCCAGATGGGGCATCACATGAGCAGAGCAGAGGGAGACAATCACCTCCCTGTCCCTGCTGGCTACCCCTCTTCTGATGGAGCCCAGGATACCATTTGCTTTCCAAGCTGCAAGAGCACACTGCTGGCTCATGGTAAGCTTTTCATCCACCCAGGTCCTTCTCTGCAGGGCTGCTCTCAAGGACTGCTCCTTCCAGTCTGTATGGATGCCTGGAATTCCTCCGGCCCAAGTGCAAAACCTTGCACTTTGCTGTGCTGAACCTCATTTGATTCACCCGGGCCCACCTTTCAAGTCTGTTGAGATCCCTCTGAATGGCATCCCTCCCTCTTACCACTTAGCTTGGTGTCATCAGCAAAGCTGCTGAAGGTGCATGCGATTCCGTCATAAATGTCATTGATAAAGATGCTAAAGAGCACCAGTCCCAAGACAGAAGGCCAACAGTACCCTGGGCTGCAACAACAGAGGGGTGGCAGAAGGAAGAAGGAGGGGATTGTCCCCTTCTGCTCTGCCTTTGTGGGGCCCCATCTGCAATACTGCCTCCTGGTCTGAGACCCCCAGCACGGAAAAGATATGAAGCTGTAGGAGCATGTCCAGAGAAGGGCATTGAGGATGCTCAGAGGGCTGGAGCACCTTTCCAATGAAGAAAGTCTGAGGGAGCTGGGGGTGTTCTGTTTGGAAAGGGCTCCAGGGAGACCTCTTTGTAGCCTTTTAGTACTTCAGGTGAGCTTATAAATAGGAGGGTTCTGTGATTCTGTGTGGCAGGAACATGGCTGTAGGGCTGCTGGTGGCTCCGGGCTTTGTCACCACTAAAGTCCAGCTGGAGTTTTTAGGCTTTGCTTTTTGCCTTGCAAATGGGCATGTTGGGGAGAGAGAGAACTTTGGCAGAAGGATGATCTGTGGCACGGGGTGAGGTTTTCAGTGACTCACTCCTTGGTTATCTCCATGAGTGCCCCAGGGCTTCATCAAGGCAGGTTTGGAAGGGAGGCCCTGCATACAGCCCCACAGAGGCAGCGCAGTTGAGCTCCCCACTCTCCATAGCTGGAGCTACGAGCACCTTGCTGCCCCCAGACGCATGGAACGACCACCAACCCCTGCCACCAATGAACCACAGGTGCAGCCTCGGAGCACTCAGGCAGTGCCCACTCTCTGGCTCTCTGATAGCCCCAAAGGGCAGCAAAGCACCGTGCACCAGAGCTGCACACCAGGAGCTTTGGGGCCAGAGGCAGTGCGGTGCTGCACGCTCCCCTCCTGCACAGGCTGTGAGGGTGAGGTAATCCTGGGTAATTCCTGACTTCCATGGAAATGCCTGGAGGCCGTGATGATTATCACTGTAATTAGCCTCTCTGATTTTTCTTGGTGTTCTATAAAACATTAATTTCCAGCTGGATCCTCGCCTCCTTTGTGCACAGCCCCACATCTCCCCGCCAGCAGCGCAACTCTGGCAGCTCTGCTCAGGGTGCAGGGCCCTGCCCAGGGGCTCTTGCAGCTCCTGCTGAAGGCAAAGGTGCAATAGAAGCACTCTCAGAACCCGCCCTTTCTATCTCTTCACGTGGTTGGTGATGGGGAGTGAATGCAATGCTGCAATGCTCACCAACAAAATGAAGGCACGCATCAGGCTTGGCAGCATGAGGTGCCCAGAAGACCTCTGGGGCTCAGCCCCGGCTGGTGCCCTATTGTTTCGGCCAACCCAAATGGGGTCAGCTTCCATGTTTCTAATGGTGTATAAAATGCCTTTCCTAATGTTTTGATCCCAAATGTGATTATAGGCCATAGGAAAGGACAGGAGGAAAGGGATACTGCGGCATGCGGTTTGTCACTGCTGGGTACTGGAAACAGCCTGGCTCCATGGCCACTCGCTGCCTCCTTCCTTGGTCTGGGTCCCCGTGTTGCAGCTCCCTGCCCTGAGAAGGTTCTTTCTGCCGGGTAATGCGCTGTGCCTTGTGCAGCCACGTGTACTAGCTGTCATGGCCGTGGGTGGAAGTAAAGAAGAAAAGCATTGCTAATGGTGGGCAAGTGGGGCAGTGGCCATTCCAGGTGTGGGGATGGCACTGCCGGGGCTGCCTTCCCAGCGCCGCTGTTGTCCCGTGGCTCAGGGCAGCCCTGCACTGGGCTGGGTCCCACTGGCACTGCAGCCACGGTGCTGCAAACCGTTTCTACAGCTGCGCTTCCCAGGGTGCTCGCACGAGATATTTCCATCCAGAAAAACAAACATTTATTCGGAGCTGCCTTTCACCCGTGTTTTGCTCGGTCTCCCGCTGCGGTTTCCCTCCCCTCCCATCAGAACCGGAGGATGCTCCGCGCCCGGCATCCCGCAGATGACGCTGCCGGCCGCCTTCCTTCCGTCTGCCCCTTTTTAAACCCCACTTCGCTGTGTGGTCATCGCTCGCTTTGCAGCTCCGCAGCGGGTATGAAGGAAAAAAGGAGCGCGGAGCGCGCTGCTCCAAGCCCCTGGAGTCGGCAGAGGGCAGTGGAAGATGCTCCGAGCGCAGCGAAGCCGAGAGCCGGGAGCGGGGATCCGGGGAGGAGACTGCAGCGGAGGAAGGGCCGAGCGGAGCCGCGCTCCTCGGGCGGCGGGGCCGGGCTGATAGTGATCTGACATCGCTCGGCCGTTAGGGCACGGGAAGACGGCAGCCCGCGCCTGGTATGCGGGCGGTGTAAATAGCCCCGGCGTGGGGAAAGAGCCTTTAATATATGGATTTGGAGTTGTTTTTTTTTTTTTAATTGAAGGAGAGCCGAGGGCGTTCCAGACGCAGTCCCCGCAGCTCCGCATCTCTCCCCCCCCCCCTGCTTTTTGCAGCCGGAGGCCACAAACGGGCGTGGAAATAAAAGCTCCCGGCGCTGCAGCCCCCACCGACCGAGCTCCGAGTCCAGTCGGGCCACGCTCCCAGCTCCGCCCTCACCTGAGTACCCCCCGGCCCCCTGCAGTCCTCCCTTCCCGGGCCGGAGCTCCGCGGGGCTCGGGGTAGGGCCCTGCGGAGGCGGTGCCGGTGGGGGCCCGCCCCGGGGCTGCTCCCGCCGCAGGATGCG